CCTATCCATGTTAAGGATATATCCCACTCGACACTTGCAAATGAATGAGTTCCCCTTGTTGGCACAAATGTGCTGGCAATCATGTCCCTGGGCACATGCATCCAAGCCTGGAACTGAAAAGAAAAGCTCACACCTCAGTGACTTAGTCTTTGACATCAAAACATTCACTTGGCTTTTTGGGGAGTATTCAGTCAAAGTTCCCTTGAAAAGAGACGGATCCTACAACCATGTCACCCATACAGTCAAACATACCCAGTCTCCCATGTCTCACTTACACTTACCTAAGTTTTGAACAGCTCAACTAATTTTAGATTGAAGAATGTTCAGTGTGTCCATAAGAGAGATTGCCTTTACCTCCAACACAGACTCCTACTGTCTAGATGGAAGATCTAATGTTTGATTGAACCAGACCTCCTTAGATACTTTGAAACCCCAAAAGTGAGGCTATGTGGACTATCTGAGAGGATGGATGATACCAAGACATCAAATATGCAAAATGAAACAATTCAGATTCTTACGTGAGCATGTTTTCTGGTCTGCATTCAATACATATCCCAATCGACACTTGCAGATATACGAATCATCATTGTTGACACAAATGTGCTGGCAGTCATGTCCATAGGCACATGCATCTGAACCTGAAAAGAAAAAACTTACGGATCTAACTGACTTATTCTATCAGTCAATGACCCTTTTATCTCTTATGAACCCTCTGACTATTGCCATTTGCTTAATTTCTCTAAATGTATCACGCTGAGGTTGATCAGGCACTGGGCTAAACTTACAAAAAATCCAAAAAGATTTAGGAATGACTTTTTATTTTTCCAGTCTAGGAAATAACAGAGACATCCCATGAAAATTGATTAGGAAGCTCCAATTCCTTACTTGAGCATGTTTTCTTGTCTGGATTCAACACATATCCCATTTGACACTTGCAGATGTACGAGTCATCAGTGCTGACACAAATTTGTTGGCAGTCATGTCCCTTGGCACATATATCTGAACCTGGAGAGAAGCACCCCCACATCTAACTATCAATCAAAGAAACTTTCATAAGTAATAAAACCTATGATGAGCTGTCAGGCTTCCCCTTTCAGTCTCAAACCTTCAGCACATTGCAAAGAAAGGTTTAAGTTCTTACGTGAGCATGTTTTCTTATCTGGATTCAACACATATCCCACTCGACACTTGCAGGTGTAAGAGTCATCATTGTTTATACAAATGTGCTGGCAATCATTTCCACGGGCACATAGGTCAGAAACTAAAAAAAGAGACATGGACATCATATGTCTACTTGTTACAACATCATACATGCAGAGATTGGACTGTCAGAGCCTCTGTCTGGCCTTTGCTCCTTTTATAATTGATGACACCTGTCTCCTATGTGTCTGACTTAATCAGGTAAAGAAAAAATTGCTGGCAGTCATTTCCAAGGGTACATCAATCTGAACCTAAAAAAGAAACCATCCACATCTGTCTGACTTAATCTCTCATATCAGGGACCCCTTTATCCATTGTAAATCATATGACTATAAAAAGAAACACTTTCACATCTGACTGGCTTAGTCTATAATCTCTAAGACCCCTCATCTATCGTGAACACTATGAGTATTGCTATTTGCTAAATTTCTTTCAAGGTTGATTAGAATTAGCTCAATGTACCAAGCAAATTTAAATACAGAGGTCAGACATCACTTTCCCTTATCTTCTATTTCAGGCAACAAAATAACAATGAGATCCCAAGAAAATCTGTTAGAAAGGTCCAAGTTCTTACGTGAGCATGTTTTCTTATCTGGATTCAACACATATCCCATTTGACATCTGCAGATGTACCAGTCATCAGTACTGACACATATATGTTGGCAGTCATGTCCCCGGGTACACGTATCTGAAACTGAAAAGAGACACTCCCATATCTAACTAGACAATCAGTCAAAGAGGACCTTAGTAAGTAATAGACCCTATGATGGGGGATCGTGATCAATCACTGATAATGATTTTAAAGCAAACCCTGAACACTTTAACATATCTCAAAGAAATGTCTGAGTTCTTACGTGAGCATGTTTTGTTATCTGCATTCAACACATATCCCATTCGACATTTGCAGATGTACGAGTCATCAGTGCTGACACAAACATGTTGGCAGTCATGTCCCTGGGTGCACGTATTTGAACCTGAAGAGAAATACTCCAACATCTAACTGACAATCAATCAAATAACCTTTAGTAATTCATAAAACCTATGATGGGGTATTGTGGTCAACCACTGCTAATGAATCTTAAAGCTTCAGCACATTTCAAGTTCTTACGTGAGCATGTTTTCTGATCTGGATTCAACACATATCCCTCTCGACAATCACAGATGTAAGTGTCATCATTGTCTATACAAATGTGCTGGCAGTCATTTCCATGGGCACATGGATCAGAACCTGAAAAGAGACATGGACATCAAAAGTCCACATGAGTTATGACATCATACATGCAGAGATTGGATTGTTATAGCCTCATTCTGGCCATTGCTCCTTTAACAGTTGATGCAAACTGCCTTCCAAAATCTAAATTATTCAGGCAAACACAAAGTTGCTTGGAGTCTCGCTCATGGTTAGGTGCATCTGAACCTTAAAAGAAACACACCCACATCTAACTGACTTAATGTATAGTCTCAAGGACCATTTTATCGGTTCCAAACCCTATGACTGTTGTCATTTGCTGAGACTGAGGTTATTGCCCTATACTTTTCAAGCAAATCTAATCAAACGGGTCAGACAGTACTTTCTTTATATTGTCTCAGTCTACAAAATAACATTGAGATCCCAAGAAAAATGATTAGGAAAGTCCAAGTTCTTACGTGAACAAGTTTTCTGGTCTGCATTCAACACATATCCCATTCGACACTTGCAGGTATACGAGTCATCAGAACTGACACAAATATGTTGGCAGTCATGTTCCTGGTCACATGTATGAGAACCTGAAAAGAAACACCCCCACATCTAACTAGGACAGTCAGTCAAATCCTCAGTAAGTCACAAAACCTATGATGGGGGGTTGTGGTAAAGCACTGATAAGAAATCTTGCAGCAAACCCTTCAGCACATTTCAAAGAAAGGTCTATAAGTTCTCACGTGAGCATGTTTTCTTATCTGGATTCAAAACATATCCCACTTGACACTTGCAGATGTAATACTCATCATTGCTTATACAAATGTGCTGGCAGTCATTCCCATAGGCACATGGATCTGAACCTGAAGAGAGACATGGACATTAAAAGTCCACATGAGTTATAACATTATAGATACAGAGATTGGACTGTTGGAGCCTCAATTTTGCCACTCCTCCTTTGACAGTAGATGCTGTCTTGCTCATGGGGACTGTCTCAAAAGAAACACTTTGACATTTGACTAACTAAGTCTATAATCTTAAAGTCATCTTTATCTATTGTGAACACTATGAGTATTGCAACTTGCTCCATTTCTCTTAATGCATCCAACTGAGGTTGATATGAGTCAATTTACTTGGCAAATTTAATCAAACAAATGACATATTACTGTTCCACTCTATGAAATAACAGTGTGATCCTTAATAAATCCCTTTAAAAAGTTTGAGTTCTTACGTGAGCATGTTTTCTTATCTGGATTCAACACATATCCAGTTCGACACTTGCAGATGTACGAGTCATCAGTTCTCACACAAATATGTTGGCAGTCATGTCCCTGAGCACATGTATCTGAACCTGAAAAGAAACACTCCAACATCTAACTGACAATCAGTCAAAGATGCCTGTAATAAGTAATAGAACCTATGATGGAGGATAGTGAGCAAGCACTGGTAGTTATGAATTTTGAAGCAAACTCTGAACAATTCTACACATCTTAAAGAAATGTCCAAGTTCTTACGTGAGCATGTTTTCTTATCTGGATTCAAAACATATCCCATTCGACACGTGCAGATGTACGAGTCATCAGTACTGACACAAACATGTTGGCACTCATTTCCCTGGGCGCACGTATCTGAAGCTGAATAGACACATTCCAACATCTAACTTGACAATCAGTCATGGAACCCTTAGTAAGTATTACAAGAAATAATGAGGTATCATAGTCAAGCAATGATAATGAATGTTGAAGAAATACCTTCAGCATATTTCAAAGAAAGGTCTAAGGTCTTACGTGAGCATGTTTTCTCATCTGGATTCAACACATATCCCTCCCAACACTTGCAGGTGTATATGCCATCATTGTTTATACAAATGTGCTGGCAATTATGTCCATTGGTACATGGATCAGAACCTAAGAAGAGAGACATGGACATTAAATGTCCACATAGGTTATGATGTCATATATGCAGAGATTGGACTGTAAGAGCCCCTGTCTGACAATTCCTTTTGTTATTAATGCATTCTGTCTTCCAGGTGTCTCTTTTGGGCTAACACAAATGTGTTGACAGTCTTGTTCATGGGTACATGCATCTAAACCTTAAAAGAAACACTTCCTCATCAAACTGACTTAATCTATCATCTCAAGGATCCTTTTATCTATTGTTGACCTATGACTATTGCCGTTTGCTCAGTTTCTCTTAATGCATCACATCCGGTTGATTAGAACAAGCTCAACTTGCTTAACAAATTCAATCGAACAAATCAAGCATTATTTTCCTTTACTGTTTCAGGCTACAACAAAATAATGAGATCCCAAAGAAATCTGTTAGAAAGGTTCAAGTTCTCACGTGAGCATGTTTTCTTATCTGGATTCAACACATATCCCATTTCACACTTGCAGATGTAAGAGTCATCAGTACTGACACAAATATGTTGGCAGTCATGTCCCTGGGCACATGGATCTAAACCTGAAAAGAACAATTCCAACATCTAACTGACAATCAGTCAAAGAACCTTTACTAGGTAACAAAACTTATGATGTCTAATCATGTTAAAGCACTGATAAAGAATTGTGAAGCAAATCCTTCAATATAATTCAAAGAAAGGTCAATGAATTCTTACGTGAGCATGTTTTCTGATCTGGATTTAACACATATCCCTCTCGACACTCACAGATGTATGAGTCATCATTGTTTATGCAAATGTGCTGGCAATCATTTCCACGGACACATGGATCAGAACCTGAAAAAAGACATGGACATCATATGTCCACATGTGTTATGACATACATGCAGAGATTGGACTGTTGCCCGTCAAGCCTTTGCTCCCTTTACAAATTAATTAATCTGTCTTCCAAGTGTCCAATTTATTTAGATTAGCACAAATTTGCTGGCAGTTACATGTATATTCATCAGCCAGGTAGTATATATAATTCTGAAAAGAGACACTGCAGCAAATGTTTGAAAATAATTTCATCTAAATGGAGGAGTATGACAAGTTTAATGAAGCGCCTGGGAATGCATGGGATGCATTAAAAATAAAATGCAGCTTGGGCCACATTTGTTCTGTCTGCCGGTCAGATCCTGAGAGAAAACTAATTGCCAAAACCTGAACCTGAACCTGACAGGCATTCTGTTTTTGTATCCAAACCTGACTGGAGTAGGATTAATGTAAACTGCACTGAGTTTGTGTAACCCTGTCACTGACAACCATGGTTAATTCTTGTCTATCCTAATTACAGACATGTGCAGTGTAAAAAATAATCAGCCAAGCCGATGTGTTAGCCTAAGTTCTTACGTGAGCATGTTTTCTGGTCTGCATTCAACACATGTCCTTCTTGACACTTGCAGATGTATGAGTTGTCATTGGTGACACAGATATGTTGGCAATCATGTCCCTGGGCACATTGAGCTGATCCTGAAAAGAGACACCCCTATTCATAAATGACTTAACAGTATTAGTATTTGTTAGGAAGCACGTAGTCTGCTGGGTTTTACTCCCAACTTCCTGCTCATTCTAAATAATTGACATACATACTGTATAGATGTATATGTAGAGCAGGTATACAATTCAGGTTCTTACGTGAGCATGTTTTCTGGTCTGCATTCAACACATAACCCACTCGACACTTGCAGATAAAAGAGTCCTCATTGCTTTCACAAATGTGCTGACAGTCATGTCCATGGGCACATTGATCAAAACCTACAGAAAGAGACAGATCCACATGAGACTAATATCTCAGTCAAGGTGACCTTGGGCTGTTCCAAGCTCCATTCCTCTTTTTGTATGAATCAGCCTCCATAGTCTATGAGTTATTCCCTCTGCCAAGGAAGGTTATGTTTTCACCACTGTCTGTTTTGTTCGTTGACTTGTTTATGAACAAGATTACACAAAACGGATTTCAGTGAAACTTGGTGGAAGGACATGGTGTGGGTCAGGGACGAGCCCATGAAATTTTGGTGTGGATCTGAATTGGATCATTGAATGATGTCTCCATTTCCCTGGGAAATGATGCATGGATCTTAATGAGAAAAAACTGCTGATGTTTACAATTTGTCTATTGGTATGCACTCTACTGACTGCTATTATTGTTCAGGCTGGGTTCAGCAACTGACTGTGTGAAAGTGTGAAAATAAACCGTATTATTAGTCACATGAGGAAAGTTTTTCTGTCCAAAACAGCTTTCAATTCTAGGTTATTCACAATAACAGTATTTACTTATTCAGTAAACCCTGTGGATTTTGTATTTAACAAACCACAGTAGTCATGACGGATGTAAATAATACGATATGGCTCTAAGACATATCAAATCTCATTAGACCTGTGTTGTTGTCTGCATGTGGTTTTACAATAAATCTGAAAAGATAAAGGCTACGTGAGCATGTTTTCTCATCATCATTCAGTGAATATCCCCAATGACATTTACAGAAGTACGAATCAGCAGTGTTTATGCAAATATGCTGACAATCGTGGCCCTGGGCACATGTATCTCATTCAGTCAAACTACATCAGTCAAGCAGATTAAAGCCAAGACATTAATGAGCCATTGATTATTTCAAAAATAACTCATGACCTTTTTCTCAAGATGCAGAAATTCTAGTTTCTTATGCACAATCATTCTCTCAACAACTCAGGAAAAAGTTTGAAGCTGTTCTAGCACACAAAACTGTAGCTCATCTGAGCTCCAGAGACTGGATTCTACTGTTGCTCAACCCCTAACAATATTTTTCCAAATCCTCACAAATCTATTGGTAAAGGTTCTTATAATGTGAACATGTCATTTCAAGGTAAGATCTGAAAAATAGTCGTATAAGCTGAACTGTGCCTGACCCGGTCCACTTCCCACTTTCTAGAATAATCCTTCAGTGGCTTCTATGGCACCACATTTCTACAAGAAAGGTCCAGCTTCTTATAAGGTTAAGATATTTGGTTTGTACAAGCCATCCCATTCCACATTCACCCAGATGTATGAATCATTGTGCTAACACAACTGTGCTGGCGGCCATGTTCCTGGGAACACATATCTAAACATGACGAGAAGAAATTCCATGAGAGGAAGCTCTCATCATGCTCTTATTCTGGAGCTTTTGATTAGAAGTTGTCAATGTTCCAGGTCGTAGTCAAGCAACAGGATAAGGTGATTGACCAGTGCTTGCTTTATAGGCTATATGAAGGTTGCAGCTGTGCTGAAAAATTTGAAACTAAAATTATTTTAAACTTTGAAGCCATAAAAAAATCTTTTTAAAGCATCAGACAAAACACATAAACAGTATCTGTGGAACTGGCCCCAAAACAAAAACAGGCAAAAGCAAATTTCATCAGAAATATTGTGTTCTTACGTGAGCATGTTTTCTGGTCTGCATTCAACACATATCCCACTTGGCACTTGCAGATGTACGAGTCATCACTGTTTAGACAAATGTGCTGGCAGTCAGGTCCATGGGCACATGGATCAGAGCCTGAAAAGAGATACTTACATCTCTCCACATCTGACAGATACAGTTTTCTAGAGGTAAGGGTTGTGGAGGCTTTTGATCGCCCATTACTTTTATAATTTGGGCCTCTCATCAACCCAGGCCTTCATCACGTCTTGCTTATTTAACTTGTACTCAATAGTGTGCCTTAATCTATTAAGCTGAACAAAAATCATTGCTTACAAGAGACGTTATGCAGTCTGACCATGAAATGCTTCACTAACTGATGTTCAAAAGCATATGAAGTTCGATTTCTCACTTCAAATTTTAATATAAATGTTTCACAAATTAGACACTTCTACCTCTAATCAAGCTTTTCCCATCTTATTTCCAAACCAATGCTTCTGGACAATTCAGTCAAAATACAACTTTTAGACAGATAAACTTTTTCAACCATGGTTTTTCAGATCAACAAATAGGGATTTGGGGACACTGCAACACTGGACAAAAAGATAAGACAAAGATAAAAACTCTTACGTGAGCATGTTTTCTTGTCCGGGTTCAAGACGTAGCCCAAGCGACACTTGCAGTTGTATGAGTTGCCATTGTTGACACAAATGTGCTGGCAATTGTGTCCCTGAGCACATGCATCCAAACCTGAAAAGATACATTCAAGTGTCTGATTGGCTTATTGTCTAGCAAAATCATTGTTGTTACAGGTTAGTAAGTTGTAAGTAAATATTCATTAATTGTGCATTTTTTAATTTGACGTAGCCACATGCAGATTAGTTTGCTTGATCTCTGTGCTTCAACTATTGCAATGTAATTATGATCTTAGGTTGTTTGTTTCAATTCCTGCATTGTTTGTGAAGGAAGAGATTAAGTCATTTGTCACCTTGAAATGTTAAACAGGCCTCACCCGAATATATACATCCATCTTAATGTTCATGCAACACAGACCATGCAAATACAAAATTGAATGCAGGTAACATTCTTTCACGATGACACAGAAACGTCTTTAGTAGTGACGTCACTTTTGTGGATGACAGAAGTGAAACACAGAGGTCAGTTGAGCTCATTCTTCAGGCTCAAGCTGTTATTCAAAAGCAAAGTTTTGAATTTAACAGGAGTCTAGTCATGATTTTAAAATGGTGTGTAGTGAGTTTGACACCAGCGAGAAGGTTACATGAAAGTTGTTAGATGAAATGTAAACAATGATAATTTAAATCCAGTCTTACTGAATGAAAGTACAGGGCCCAGGAAAGTAATGGTGGGAATTTGTTTTGAAGCTGATAATGTTTTTTTGTGTTGAGCTTTAAATGTGCTGGTAGGCAGATTTTCTTACCGTCAGGCAGATCCGTGTTAGTTCTGCCCCCCTCATTTCCAGTGTCTATGCTAAGCCAAGCTAACTGGCTATTTTCTACGGCTTCGTATTGAATGGACGGACATTTTTCTCATTTCAATTTCCTGCAGCAAAGCTTTGTGTGGCTGCTTTGTTTCATTTTAAATAGCGCACTGCTTGTTCTTAACCTTCCTGATTTGAATGAGCTGTTCTTTCTTTCTTTTTTTCTTGGTGTTTGGTAAAGCTAAAATGTATCAAATTATATAATAGAATGTTTTCTGAAAAATTACTTAAAGTAAAATTTCCCACTCAATTAGCCTATATTTCAGTTCTAACTAATTCGAGCTGAATTAGTTTTTGCCTTGCAGGATAAGTGGCTGTTAATGTTGACCGAAGTGGACCTTGGCAGCTAAGCATATTTTCAGGTAACTAAGCGGGGCGCACGGCATGAGGCAGAAGATACAGCGCAGAGTGCAAAGAGCAGCGCGCTTCCTGTGAAAAGAACAGGCAGCATCATTTTAGGTTTCTACCATTCTAAAGTATTTTCGTATTGAAGATTTTGCTCTGAGTCAGAGTCTACCAGTGATCAGAGGGTTGTCTTCTTCTTTGGGTTGGTTAGTACATCCACTTCAACTATTGTACATTTTTAATGATAACTGCATTGAAAAATATTTTTTTTCCACTGTCTGTATGGCAACAGTAAGTAGAAACCATTTTTTGGGAAATGCACACACAGACAGTGGCAGTAAATAATATCTACAATGTCTGTTTTCTATAAGACCAAAGAAGAAGATTGTTAACTTTGGAATGGAGATTCCCTCTATGGTGCCACCCATATAATCACAGGTTAATTTAAAAAGATGGGTCTGACATACCGTTGTTTCCTTTATCGTCACTTTCATTATTTATCCCATTAAGGTCTTTGCTGCCATAATCATCAATTCCACCATTTAATGGAATGTCTGCACTTCCGTTATCATCATCCTTACCACACAAGGTTTCCCTAAATTTGGAAGTTAGCTTCTCTATGACGCCATAGGTCTCCACATAGAAGACATGGTCATCATGTGGGGGGCTGGCCATGAGGCGCAGGGACATCATATCAGCTCTGTCCACTCCAACTGCGTAGATCTCAATCCCAGATGCACGAGCTGCAGCTGACACTTCGTCCACCTTGTCCTGGGGCCTCCCGTCCGTCACTATGAAGGCCACTTTGGCAATGTTCAAGGAACTAGCCCGGGCTCCCGCCTCCACAGTGAATGCTTTTTCCATAGCAGTCTTTATGGCCATGCCTGTCATGGTGCCTGAGGCGAGGGGCTCAACTCGGGCCAGTGCCTGCTTCAGCGAAAACTTGTCAAAATATGTCTTCAGCAGGAACTCGATCTGCACTGTGCTGGCATAATTGACGAGGCCAACTCTGGTGGCATCAGACCCGATCTCCAAGCTGTCCACCATGTCTTGCAAGAAGTCCTTGGCCTTCTCAAACTCAGCTGGACGTACACTGCGGGAGCTGTCTATGATAAAGACCAGGTCTATGGGCCGATTTCTGCAGTTGGATCTCGTCACTGTAAAATATAACCAATGTTTTAAATGGATGCAAACATGTATTTTTCAGTGTTTTTGCAAGGCATGTTACAAAATTTCCTGATATCCTGAGGTTCCTAAATTGTTCCTACAATAGTTTCTTCAGCTCTGAAGCTGCTCCATAGCTGAAGTGTGCTGCAAACATTTACCTAACTATAGTTGCTACAGAGATACTGCACCAAATAAGGACTGTAAAAACGATGACTCTTTGTTTAAAAAATAATAGATATATATATTTCATAATTTCTTAATTACATAATGAACTTTTTCAGCATGTTGCTTGGTGAAAAGAAAATTCTAATTTCTGCATATCGGAAATACATGCTGATAGTTAATAAAAAAAGTTCAAATTGATTTTACTAAATGCTAAAATAACATGAGCAATGATAAAAATCGCTTATGATTTGACTGGCCCTTCAGAAGATAGAGCTGTAAAATACAATCTCTGAATATATTAAGGTTAAGGGGTCCAAATGTAGATTTTTTACCAGCTCAGTGTTAGTCACCTTAAATTCTCCTTGAACTGAAACATTTTGTCATTTGAGAATTCACCTTTAAGCCTCATTTTAAAACATCAATAAAATAAAGCTTGAAAATAAATAATATTTGTATTTGAACATGTTAGTGTTTGGCATCTAGGCTCCGACTTCATCACTGCCCCAGATATGATTACATAGATATGATGGGAGTGATGAGTAAATATTTCTAACCCCCTGTTGCAGCCTACAGGTGGATGCTGGGGTGGCGGAGGGGCTGAATCAACTGTCCGGAATACTGACGCAGCAGCGAGGTCAAGCATCTTAAATAGACCTTCAAATTGAATGGTTGTGTATTATAGATTATAGTGGAGATTAACCAGAAAGCATTGGCATCATCATGATATCAAAAGTGGACCAGTGGACTTTTATCATATCAGACAAAAAGTTAGCCAACCAATTCTTTTTTGGAAAATCATTATATCTAATCATATGTACCAGGAGCACAATCTACAATTCCACAGGAGTAATATGGGGAGTGACATAACACAGCTTTAGTTGTAGAGCTACCTCCAGCAGTTCTGATGGATGCACCAGAGACACTCGAGTCTTTAGCAGGCTGCCGGGGTGTGAATGGTGCAGGATTGAGTTGCAACGGTGAGGGCAGCTCGCTCTTTGGCAGCAGGTGATGGGCAGGCTGATAGCGAGACCTGGAATTACTGCTGCCAGCTTTGCCAGGGGGAAGGAAAACAAGCATTAGAGCAGAGGCTTAAGAGCCCACTGGCAGACATGCATGAATGATCATTTGCTTAATAACATTGTTGATGGAGGGAAAGGAGTGTGCTGTAAGAGTTCACACACACACATGTTTGAACTTCTACTATCTTAGTAAGAACACTCGATCTTAACCTAAACCTAATTCTAACCCTGACACTAAAACCAACTTTCCAAAAATGTCCTCACTCTGAAAGGTCTATCCTTAAAATGATCCTCACAAAGATATAGGAGCAAGAACAAACACAAATAGATATACATGTATCTATTCATATATTTTCGCCAAATTCTAGACTGCTGCTGTTCTAAAAATATTTCCAGAAATGACACAATTCCATCTTTTGTTTCATCAATGATAAAACATAAAATGTAGAACTGCATTTATTATTCTAAAATCACATTGAAATTACAGTCTGCTCAAAGTTTTCTGATTAGTTATGTATTAGGTTGTGTCATGATATTACATTATATTTTCAACTTTTTAACAAAATAACACATTTCTTGTCAGGTACAAAATGAGC